TCTGTGACCTCCACCCAGGAGCTAGAGTTGAGGACTTCTACACTCGGTGTAGTCCGCTGCAGCTTGAGAGAGAGAGAACGACCCAGCGCTGCCTTGAGTCCTGCTTTCACGGGAATTGCAGGGCTTATTGAGCCCCTCTCGCTAACACTTGAACTGCCCGACGTTTTCCTTTGTCTTCTGATGTCTCTTAGAGGTGTGAGGGAGTCTCTACCCTGGTCGTCCCTCCCATCTTCCGTAGACTCGTCGTTGTCATCAGAAAAGGGAGTGTCAGGGTCAAAGTCTCGGGTCGTCGCCAGAGGGTCCTTAGCTGGAACACAGTCACCACAACTGACAACAGACTCACGGAGACTGTACTTTCCTGACGACTGGCTGCTGTGTACACTAGGCGACTGCTGAGGCTCACATTTGGGGTCATCATCACCACTTTGGCACGAGTCTAGAGCGGAGTCTGAGTCGTAATATTTTTGGTGGTCATTAGGGGGAATCTGAGACTTGTGGCCACTGTCCTGACCTGTGCCCCCCTCTGAACCACGACAGCACTGACACTGGCCCATGTTAGTGGCTCACATCCACACACCAGATATTTCACACTGACCCGCTCCTCGTCTCATCTTCCGTTATCCAAGTTCACCAGAAGTTCAACTTACAGTGTCTGATATTGCACACAAAGTTTTAATTTGAAGAAGTTTCGAAGAGTACAGCAAACCTTTTAATTAAATCTTGCTATTTCCTTCCGAGAGTAAGTACATTATAGAGAGAACAGCCACATTAGTATTTTCAACTTGTTCGGTGATAGATGATGTAGAATGTGTGTGGAGGTGTGCGTGGTGAGGGGCGGGAGAGTGGCCCGTGCACCACCTCCCGACCGGCTGCCAGAGCACTACTGCTGTTGGCTCCCACGTTGGGGTCGCTACAGCCTCCCACCCTCGAGTTGCCTCGCCTCGCGACCCTCAATATTAAGGACGAGTCATAGTATTCACTTACACCACTTTCCCACCAACTGATTTTAAAGTTATCCGAAACACGCAAAGTTATAATTAGTCGATAGTATATGACTTTATGTCCAGTATTTTGGTTGTTGGTTGTCTTTACTAAACAAATTACGCTCCTTTAAGGTGGTCTATTCGCATATATATATATATCTATATATATATATATATATATATATATATATATATATATATATATATATATATATATATATATATATATATATATATATATAAAACTGCTTGTCATTAAGATAATTGAAGTTCTTAACAGGATAATAAACACTCCAAGAAACTGTACACTTCACTGATTACACAGAAAAATCGTTTTTCATGATTGTAAATGTTTTTGACGCAGAGCTGAAGCTTCTTAGTCTGAAGCTTCTTAGTCGCGAGTTTCTTCCCGACACCTGTAGGAGTCACACCCACCGTCGTTGATGACAAAATGGGATCAGAGGAATAATCTGACAGCTGTAGATAATACCAGTTTAAACTCACTGCGATGGTGATAATTTAAGGATTAACTAGAAGAATATTCCTTTACAGCAATAGAGTATTATTGTGGAGTATTTCAGACTTAGCTGCCAAGGTATTACTTCATACTAGTTTTAAGTACTCCCTGGTATCTATTTTTCTTGAGGTTCACTTGTAAATCATTCTCCAAAAAGTTATGACATTACCTGTTGAAAGTTTGACTGTTAAGTGAGAGTCAGTTGAGGATGACCGGTCTCCTGTCTCCAATATTGACAATATAATACTCTATTATGGCCAGTGTCTGTTTCATTCAACCGTAATTTCAGGCGGGCACAGCATCAGGCGGGCACAGCATCAGGCGGGCACAGCATCAGGCGGACGCAGCATCAGGCGGGCACAACGTAAATGCTGTGATATTTCCCATCCGTACTTCCGTGGTTCTGTCAATGGAGAGGAGGTAACTCTACACTATGAACATAATTCGTACATTATATAAACATTATATTATATATTTCTTATTACAGATAGCAGTTTGTCCTTGCCTCTACACCACCCAACCTTTACACCTTTCAACTCCACGCCCTTCACCTCCATACCCTCCACTGCCTCCACTTTCATGCCCTCCGTCTCTACACCCTACACCTCCACACCATTCAATACCTGCCTCCACCTTCACACTCTGCAACCCTTCCTCCCTCCACCTCCGCACCTTCCACGTCCACACACTGCCCTGCATCTCTCCGCCCACCGCCTTTCCACCATCCACCTCCACGCCTTGTACCTCCACACCCTCCACATTCTACACCCTCCATCCACCTCCACACCCCTCACCTCCATGCCCTCCACCACCACACCCTCCATCCACCTCCACACCTCTCCGCCTGCACACCCTCCACCTCCACACCCTCCTCCCTCCAACTACACATCCTCCACCAACACACCCTGCTCTCTCCGCCTCTGCACCCTCCAACCCCTACGCCTCCATGCCCCCCATCTCTCTCCCTCCACACCATCCACCTCCACGCCCTCCACACTCCGACTGCACATCCTCTTCCAACACTCTCCTACTCCACACCACCCCTGGCACTGTAAGTCCCTTGATGGCACCGCTGCCCCTAAAGTGAGCCCCTGGGGCTCTGTTACCCTGTGCAGGCTCCTGGGTCCACCACCGCCCCTGGCAGGGTCCTTGGGGGCACCACCATCTTTGGACGAGCCCCTGAGCGCACCACCATCCCTGGGAGATTCCCTGGGGGCGCCGCTGTCCCTACAAGTGATCCTAGAAACGCCGCCGCCCCTGGGAGGGCCTCTGGGGGTACCACCGCCCCTGGGAAGTCCCCTGGGGGCACCGCTGTTTTGGGGGCGCCACCGCCACTGGGAGGGCCCCTTGGGGTGCCACCGCCCCTGACAAGGTCCCTGGAAGAACCACCGCCCCTGGGAGGTTCCCTGTGGGCGCCACCGCTCCTGGGAAGGCCCCTGGAAGCGCTACCGCCCCTGGGGGCGCCATCCTCCTGGCAGGGACCCTGTGGGCGCCACCCCCTTTGGGAGGGCCCCTTGGGGTGCTGCTGCCCATGTGCGGGCCCCTAGAGACACCACCGCCCCTGGAATGTCCTCTGGGGGGTACCACCGCCCCTAGGAGGTTCCCTGGGGGCGTCTCTACCTCTAAGAAGAGGCCCTGGGGGCGCTGTTGCCCCGTGGAGGTCCCCTAGGGGCGCCGTTACCCCTTAGAGGTCCAACCACTCCTGACAGGGCCCCTGGGGTCGCCACCGCCCCTGGAAGGGCCTTTGGGGGCGCCGCTGTTCCCTGGGGCCACCACCTCCCCTAGCAGCGCCCGTGCAGACACAACCACCGCTGGACGGGCCCCTGGGGGTGTACCGCCATCCCTGGGAGATCCCCTGGGGGCGCCGCTGTCTCTAAGAGTTCCTGTGGGCGTATCTGCCCCTAAGGAATAGCACTGGGGGCGCCGTTGACCCTCGGAGGGCCCCTTGCGGCGCCACCACTCCTAGCAAGGTCCCTTCGGGCGCCAAAGCCCCTGGCAGGGCTCCTGAGGGCACCACCGCCTCTGGGAGGTTCCCTGGGGGAGCCACCGCCCCTGGAAAGGCCCCTGGATGCGCCACCCCCTCTGGGAAGGCCCGTGGGAAGTCCCCTGACAGCACCGCTGGCCCTGGGGGCGCCATCACCTCAGGAAGGTCCCGCAGGGTCGCCACCGCCTCTGGGAGGGCCCCTGGGGGTGCCACCGCCCCTGGCAGGTTCGCAGGAAGGATCACCGCCCCTGGGAGGTCCCCTGTGGGCGCCACCATACCTAGGAGGGCCCCTGGAGGCGCCACCACCCCTGGCAGTGCTCCTGGGGGCTCCGCTATCTCCGATTCGATTGCAGAGTAATTAGTGGCCAATATGACCCTTGAAAGATTTTACTGACATTTTCCAATGCTAATTACTCATCAACTATCGGTTTCCAAGGTGTAATCTAGGGTTTGTGTGTTATTCTGAAAGTACTTAATTAGTTAAACCCCTTAAATTTCAATTTTAAGAAAAAAGTTTATTTTGGCCAAACATTTTGTAAGGTGTAAGACTTACATTTTTGGTGGTTTTGGGCCAAAAATTAGATTTTGCTGAAAATCACAGTATGGGTACTCCTGAGCGTGCTGATTATGAATATGTGGTCCACGATTCGATTGCAGAGTAATTAGTGGCCAAAATGATCCTTGAAAGATTTTACTGACATTTTTCAATGCTAATTACTCATCAACTATAGGTTTCCAAGGTGTGATTTAGGCCCCTGCAAGCGCTACCGCCCCTAGGGGTGCCACCCCCCCCCCCCTGGCAGGGACCCTGTGGGCGCCACCGCCTTTGAGAGGGCCCCTGGGGGCACCACCGCCCCTGGGAGGTTTCCTGGGGGCGTCCATACCCCTAAGAAGAGGCCCTGAGGGCGCCGTTGCCCCGTAGAGGTCACCTGGGGGCGCCGTTGCCCCTTTGAGGTCCCACCACTTCTGACAGGGCCCCTGGGTTACCACCTGCACTGGAAGGATCCTTGGGGCACCGCTGTCTATGGGATGGCCCCTGGGGACCCTACCGCCCATGTGAAGGCCTCTTGGGAGGGCCCCTGGGGTCATCGCTGACCCTGTGCGATCCCTAGGGCCACCACCGCCTTTGGCAGGGGCCCTGAAAGCACCACCATCCCTAGGAGATCCCTTGGTGTCGCCGCTGTCCTTGGGATGGCCCGTAAATGCGCCACCGATCCTGAGAGGGGCACTGCGGGCGCCACCGTCTCTGAGAGGGCCCTTGGGGTCGCTTGTGCCCCTAAGGTACACCCCCTAGGGGCACCACCGTCCTGGGAGGTCCCTTGGGGGCGCCCTCGACCCTGGTAGGGCCCCTGGAGGTTCCATTCCCCTGGAATGGCCGCTGGGTTCATCACCGCCCCTGAGAGGTTCCCTGGAGGCGCCACAACCCCTGGAAAGGCCCCTGGAGGCGCCACCCCCTCTGGAAGGGCCCCTGGGAATGATTTGCCCCTAAGGATAATTCCTGTAGGCGTAGCTGCCCCTAAGGAAAGGCCCTGGGGGCGCCAGCACCCTTGGCAGGGCCTCTTGGGTTACCACCGCCCCTGCGAGGTTCCCTGGTGGTGCCACAGCCCCTGGCAGGGTCGCTGGAAGGACCACCGGCCGGCCCTCGGAGGTCCCCTGTTGGCGCCACCGTACCTAGGAGGGCCCATGGAGGCTCCACCCCCACCTGGCAGAGACACCTGCTGGCGCCACCGCTTTTGGGAGGGCCCTTGGGGGCGTCGCTAACCCTGTGCGGGCCCCTGGAGCCACCACTGCCTTTGGCAGGGGCCCTGCCGGCACCACCATCTCTGGACGGGCTCTTGGGCCCACCACCATCCCTAGGAGATCCCCTGGGGTCGCCGCTGTCCCTGGGAGGGCCCGTAGATGCGCCACCGAACCTGAGAGGGACTGTGCGGGCGCCACCGTCTCTGAGAGGGACCCTGGAGGCTCTGCTGCCTCTAAGGTGAGCCCCTAGGGGCACCACTGACCCTGGGAAGTCCCCTGGGGGCGCCCCCGACCCTGGAAAGGCCCCTGGAGGCGCCACCCCCTCTGGGAGGGCCCCTGAGAGCGTTTTGCCCCTATGGAGAGTTCTTGTGGGCGTAGCTGTCCCTAAGGAAAGGCCCTGGGGGCGCCGTTGCCTCTACGGGGGGCGCCAGCACATCTGGCAAGGACCCTGGGGGTACCACCGTCCCTGCGAGGTTCCCTGGTGGTGCCACCGCCCCGGGAAAGATCCCTGGAGGTGCCACACCCTCTTGGAGGTCCCATGGTAAGTCCCCTGACGGCACTGATGCCCCTGGGGGCGCCATCACCCCGGGAAGGGCCCCTGGGGTCGCCACCGCCTCTGGAAAGGCCCCTGGGGGTGCCATCGCCCCTGGCAGGTTCGTTGGAAGGACCACCATCCCTGGGAGGTCCCCTGTTGGCGCCACCGTACCTAGGAGGGCCCCTGGAGGCGCCATTACCCCTGGCAGTGCTCCTGGGGGCTCCGCTGTCTTTGGGCTGGCCCCTGGAGGTTCCACCCCCACCTGGCAGGGACACCTGCTAGCGCCACCGGTTTTGGGAGGGCCCCTGGGGGCGTCGGGACCCTGCGGGCGCCATCGTCTCTGAGAGGGCCCATGGGGGCGCTGCTGCCGCTAAGGTGAGCCCCTAGGGGCACCACCGCCCCTGGGAGGTCCCCGGTGGGCACCCGACACCTGGTAGGGTCCCTGGAGGCTCTATTTCCCCTGGAATGGCCGCTGGGGGCATCACCGTCCCTGGGAGGTTCCCTGGGGGCGCCACCGCCCCTGGAAAGGCTCTTGGAGGCGCCACACCCTCTGGGAGGGCCCCTGGGAGCCTTTTGCCCCTAAGAGAGTTTCTGTGGACGTAGCTGCCCCTAAGAAAAGGCCCTGGGGGCACCGTTGCCCCTCGGGGGGCGCGAGACCCTTGGCAGTGCCCCTGGGGGTACCACCTCCCCTGCGAGGTTCCCTGGTGGTGCTACCGCCCATGGAAAGGCCCCTGGGGGTGCCATCCACTCTGGGAGAGCCCCTAGGAAGTTCCCTGATGTCACCGCTGCCATTGTGGACGGTATCCTCCCTGGAAAGGCCCCTGGGTGGCACCACCGCCTTTGGGAGGGTCCCTGGGGACGTCTCTGCTCCTAAGGAGAGCTCCTGTGGGCGTAGCAGCCCCTAAGGAGAAGCCCTGAGGGCGCCGTTGCCCCTTAGAGGTTCCCTGGGAGCACCACCACCTCTGACAGGGCCCCTGGAAGGGTCGTTGTCCCTCGGATGGCCCTTGGAGGCGCCTCTGACAGGACCCCTTTGGGTCGCTACCGCCTCTGGGAGGGCCCTTAGGGGAGTCGCTGCCCCTGTGCGGGTCCCTAGGGCCACCACCGTCCCTGGTAGGGCCCCTGCTGCACCACGACTCTTGGACGTGCCCCTGGTGGTACCACCATCCCTGGGATATTCTCTGGGGGCCCCGCTGTCCCTGGGAGGGCCCCTTGAAGCGCCACTGCCCCTGGGAGGTTCCCTGGGGGCGTCACCGCCCCTGAAAGGCCTTTGGAGGCGCCACTCCCTCTGGAAGGGCCCCTGGTTGCGTCTCTGCCCTTAAGGAGAGTTCCTGTGGGCGGAGCTGCCCCTATGAAGAGGCTCTGGAGGCGCCGTTGGCCCTCGGATGGCCCCTGAGGGCGCCACCACTCATGCCAGGGCTCATGGGGCGCCAACGCCCCTGGCCATGATGTTGTATGCAGTGCCATCCATTCTATATTTGCCTTGTAGGTTTAAGTATAAATGAACTTACGTAATAGTTTTCCTCGTATCATGTGTATGTACAACGATTTCCCAGTTGTATATTTTAGTCTTTTTTTTTCATTAACTCATTGTTATATTGGTCCAGAGTTTTATTGGTGAAACGTCTGAGTTATTTGTATTCGTATGTACAGTAGTTAGTTAACTGTATTTTAATTTATTGTTTTACTGTTCAAGATTTTAATCATGGACCCTAATGTATATTGTTTATATTCATAAAGCAAGTATTTTTGTGGTCAATTAAATTCTATCTATCTATATACATGGGCGGGCCCCTGTTAGCACCACCGCTCCTAGAAGGTCCCCTGTGGGCGCCACCGCCCCTTGCAGGGCCCTTGGGGGCACCACCACCCCTGGGCGGGCTCCTGGGGGCACCACCGCTACTGGGGACGCTGCTGTCCTTGGGAGGGCTCCTAGGAGCGCTGCCGCCCCTGGAAGGTCCCCTGCGGGCCCCGCTGTCCCCGGGAGAGCCACTTGGGGTGCCACCGCCCCTGGAATAGCCCCTGGAGGCACCGTTGCCCCTAAGAAGAGGCCCTGGGGGCGCCACCACCCCTGGAAGGTTCCCTGGAGGCGCCACCGCCACTAGGAGGTCCCCTGGGGGCGCCACCGCTCCTGGAAAAGCCCCTGGGGGCACCGCTGTCCGTAAAAGGAGAGCCACTGGGTGAGCCGATACCCCTGGTGGAAGGTGTGGAGTTGGAGGGTAGAGTGAGGATGTGCAATTGGAAGGAGGAAAAGGTGAAGGGTGAGGAGGTGGGGGTGTAGAGGAGTTGGAAGTAGGAGGAGGAATTGAAAGTTGTAGAGATGAAGGATGAGCAGTTAGAGGGCGTGGAGGTGGCGGGTAGGATGTGCAGTTGGAGGGAGGAGGGTGTGGATGTGGAGGGCATAGAGGTGGATGGTGTGGAGGCAGAGAGTTGGAGGGCCCCTTGGGGCTCCACTGACCCTAAGGAGAGCCCCTGGAGGCGTCGCTTCTCCTACGGAGAGCCCTGGGGGCGCTGCGGTCCCTGGAAAAACCCCAAGGGGCGCCAATGCTCATGGAAAGGCCCCTGGGGTCGTCACCGCACCTGCCAGGGCCCCTTGGGGCGTCACCGCCCCTGGGTGGTTCCCTGGGGGCGCCACCGCCTCTGGAAAGGCCCCTGGGGCTGCCACCGCCCCTGGCAGGGTCTCTCGAAGGACCACCACCCCTGGGAGGTCCCCTGTGGTCGCCACCGCCCCTAGGAGGGCTCTTGCAGGTGCCACCGCCCCTGACAGGGCCCCTGGGGTCGCCGCTATCCTTGGGCTGGCACCTGGGCGCGCAACCCACCCTGGGAGGGATCCTGTGGGCCCCACCGCTTTTGAGAGGGCCCCTGGGGGCGCTGTGCTTCTAAGGAGAACCCCTGGGGGTGACGTTGACCCTGTGCAGGCCCCTGGAAATATTACCTAATTTTGCGAAGTAGATTATCATAGAAAACGGGAAATTTGTATAACACAAAATGGGAAATATCTACTTTCTGGGAAAGTTGGTTATCTACTTATCATAGAAAACGGGAAATTTATATCATAGAAAATGGGAAATATCTACTTCCGGGAAAGTTGGTTATCTACTTTTCCGAAAAGTAGATTATCTAGTTTTCGGTAAAGTAGATTATCGACTTTTCGGGAAGCAGATTATCGACTTTTTGGGAAATAATACCTAATTTTGCGAAGTAGATTATCATAGAAAACGGGAAATTTGTATCACAGAAAATGGGAAATATCTACTTTCCCTGGGAAAGTTGGTTATCTACTTTCCCGAAAAGTAGATTATCTACTTTTCGGGAAAGTAGATTATCGACTTTTCGGGAAGTATATTATCGATTTTTTGGGAAATATTACCTAATTTTGCGAAGTAGATTATCATAGAAAACGGGAAATTTGTATCACAGAAAATGGGAAATATCTACTCCCCTGGGAAAGTTGGTTATCTACTTATCACAGAAAACGGGAAATTTGTATCATAGAAAATGGGAAATATCTACTTTCCGGGAAAGTTGGTTATCTACTTTCCCGAAAAGTAGATTATCTACTTTTCGGGAAAGTAGATTATCGACTTTTCGGGGAAGTAGATTTTCGAATTTTTGGGGAAATATTACCTAATTTTGCGAAGTAGATTATCATAGAAAACGGGAAATTTGTATCATAAAAAATGGGAAATATCTACTTTCCGGGAAAGTTGGTTATCTACTTTCCCGAAAAGTAGATTATCTACTTTTTGGGAAAGTAGATTATCGACTTTTCGGGAAGTAAATTGTCGACTTTTTTGGGAAATATTACCTAATTTTGTGAAGTAGATTATCATAGAAAACGGGAAATTTGTATCACAGAAATGGAAATATCTACTTTCTGGAAAGTTGATTTATCTACTTATCATAGAAAACGGGAAATTTGTATCATAGAAAATGGGAAATATCTACTTTCAGGAAAGTTGGTTATCTACTTTCCCGAAAAGTAGATTATCTACTTTTTGGGAAAGTAGATTATCGACTTTTTGGGAAGTATATTATCGATTTTTTGGGAAACATTACCTAATTTTGCGAAGTAGATTATCATAGAAAACGGGAAATTTGTATCACAAAATGGGAAATATCTACTTTCTGGGAAAGTCGGTTATCTACTTTTCCGGGTATAGATTATCTACTTTTTGAAAAGTAGATTATCGACTTTTCGGTGTATATTATCGATTTTGGGAAATATTACCTAATTTGAAGTAGATTATCAGGAAAACGGAAATTTGTATCACAGAAATGGGGAAACATTCACTCCCCCGGGGAAAGTTGGTTATCTACCACAAGCAGAAAACGGGAAATTTGTATCATAGAAAATGGGAAATATCTACTTTCCGGAAAGTTGGTTGTTCATTTTCCAAAGTAGATTATTTACTTTTCGGAAGCAGATTACTGACATTCTGGAAGTGCAATTGTCGACTTTTGGGAAATAATATTTAATTTATGGAAGTAGATTTCACAGAAAAACGAAATTTAAAATATGTAGAACAGATAAAATATCTTCCGAAAAGTTGGTTATTTACTTTTCCTGAAAGTAGATTATCTACTTTTTGGTAAAGTAGATTATCGACTTTTTCAAAGTAGATTATCGATTTTTGGGAAGATACTAATTTTTGGGCGAGATTATCATAGAAAACGAAATTTGTATCACAGAAATGGAAATATCTACTCCCTGGGGAGAAAGTTGGTTATCTACTTATCACAGAAACGGAAATTTGTATCATAGAAAATGGAACATTCAGTTTCCTGAAAGTTGTTATTCATTTCCTGAAAGTAGATTATCTCTTTTTAGTAGATTATCGACATTTCGAGAAGTAAATTGTCGACTTAAATATTACCTAATTTTATGTGAAGTAGATTATCATGAAAACGTAAATTTGTATCACAGGAAATGGGAAATATCTACTTTCCGAAAGTTGTTATTCATTTCTGAAAAGTAGATTATTCACTTTTGGGAAAGTAGATTATCGACTTTCTGGGAAGTATATTATCATTGGGGAAATATTACCTAATTTTATGAAGTAGATTATTGTAGAAAACGAAATTTGTATCACAGAAAATGGAAACATCTACCCCTGGGAAAGTTGGTCATCTATTTATCACAGAAAACGAAATTTGTATCATAGAAAATGGGAAACATCTACTTCCGAAAGTTGTTGAGTTTGATTTCTTCCTGAAAAGTAGATTATCTACTTTCGAAAGTAGATATCGACATTCTTCAGTAAATTGTCGACCTTTGGGAAATATTACCTAATTTATGTTTAGATTATCATAGAAACGTTAAATTTGTATCACAGAAAAATGGAAACATCTACTTT